CACACACACACACACACACACACACACACACACACACACACACACACGAGGCCAGTTGCAGCCTGCTCAGAGGCCTGCCTCACCCATATTCCTAAGGCAAAGTGAGCATGAGGAAGGCTTAGGCCACAGACTGGTAAACAAGAAGGACAGATACCTGAGGGGTAGTGAGAACACACAGCCCTGTAATGTTGTTCCATCCCTGAACAAGGCTTTGAAGGAACCTGTAAAACTAGCAGTTTACACCGAATGCTCCTGTCCAAGCAACCAAACCAGCTAGTATCAGTTCCAAAGGCGGGGGAGATGCCAGGCCTTGGGAGTGTAGGCTCTTCTGGGCAGTCAGGCTTTGCCATAGCCAGAGCCCATGGGCAGACACCTTGGCTCAAGGCCCGCTCAAAGCACCTGCTAAAAGGCCTGCACCACTGCTTACCTCCATGGCATCCAGAGACAGGTTGCAGGAAAGCTCAAACCTCTTCACCAAGATCTGTTCCCGGACGTGGTAAAGGCACACAAACTTGGACATGCCCCCTGCCAGGATGTTCTGCCCGTCCGCAGAGTAACACAGGGTGGTAAAGGCCCTGGGTGAAAGACACAGTTCTTAAGCACCAAGCACTTTGACATATGGTCTCAAGAGCCACCTGAAGCAGGTAGGGCCCCCACAGTGACATCCAGGGAGGCAAACACTTCTCACACCAGGGATGATCGAGGTTCCCTGACCAACCTCAGCAAAGAAGGCACATCTGCAACCCCCAAAACAGCACATACGCACCCCTTTCCTTCTTAGATGGTGCCACCTGAGGAGCCTACCCACGACAGCCCAAAATCAGTTCAGAGCTACATAGGTCTAAGAGGGCATAAGAAGCAGCGCTCATGCTGTCAGTCTTGGCTTTTCTGTGGGGCTCATCACACACCACGTTGATGGCAATGGTTTGCCAAGCGGAGCACTCTTTTCCTGCACACGTTAAACTCAGCAGATCCACAGCACCTCCTTGGGTACAATGCGGGCTCTCTTTCCTGTAGAGGCTCAGGCCCCACCTCCCTCCACCAGGGACTAGGCAACCTCAGAACCTATTTAGCAAACAGGCTAGTACAGGGGGCTCTGTGCCTTGTGCTAGGCCGTGCCCCAACCCTGCCGGAAGAGCTGACACTCACTTGCCCTTGGCTGAATGTTTGGCTGTGATCTTGTCCAGTTCCTTCCTGCCTGTTTTGAGGTCATGCCTGCCCTCGATGGAGCCCATCTGTACAGCATTCTCAGGGTCCCAGAAGGTGATCTGTGAATTCAGCGTGGCCACAGCCAGCTCTGCACCATCAGGTCGAAAAGTCACAGCCAGGGCTAGAGAGAAACAAACATCAGGCCCAGGAGACCAGGGAACCCTGAAGTGCACAGGGAGCTCCTAGAGAGTGGCACCAATCCCAGAAGCAAGAGCGCTGTATAGCCCAGCCGGGAACAAAGCAGCACCACTGTCCACCTCACTGACAATGCCCAGGGGGCTTGGTGCCACCCGGATACGGAGGAGTAACAGAAGGGAAACCAGGCTAGAGGAGAGTCACAACCAAGAGTACCTGAGGCAGCACCCGGTGCCAGCTTCAGGCCTGCAATGTGCTCATCCTGTGCGCGACAGAACCTAAGGCCAGATCTGGGGCAAGTGGGGCACACAGGTCTCCCTGTACAACAGTCTGCTCCTGGCATTCCCGTGGACTCAGTGGCTTAGCTCAAAGCAGCCCGGAAAGCCCCAGGGCTCCCAGCCTGATGCAGCCCGACCGTGGACTAAATGACCATTTCTCTCTGGTCAGGCCACCAACCTTGGGGGCTTCTGAGCTGCTGGGTCTGGGGGTCTGGCATCTTTCTCACCTCCAACTGAGCTCATGTCAAACATACAAGGAGACAGAGGCACACTAGAGAAGACCAAGGGTGGACTTTGAGGGCCCTGGCCCCTGCCTGCACATCCCAGCCACAGCTCACCATCAGAAGTCAAAACCAAGGTCTCTTTAGTTCTCCAACTGTCGAACATGTCCCACAGGCGCACTGTCTTGTCCCAAGAGGCACTTGCCAGGATGGACTTCATTGGGTTAAAGCAAATACCACTGATGGGCCCCTCATGGCCAGACAGAACCTACAGAGGCACAGGATCAGAGGGAGATGTGGGAGGGGCCGGAGTACCAACACAGGCTGCAGTGAAAGTGTGTGAAGCAATGGAAGGCCAGGCCTTAATTGCTGTTGCTTGTTACATGGAGTTCCGAGCCTGCTCTGCACCCAGGCCCCAGAGCCCCCGCCACTGCACTGACTTCTCAAGGCAGAAAATGGGATAGCCTTGCCCACCTGCCACCCAGGACCCAAGTACGTGGTCTAGGGGACCAGACTGCTCTTACGTCAAGAAGCCTGCCTGTCTGCATGGACCACACAAAGATCTCAAAGGAGTCCTGCGCCCCTGCAGAGACGATTTCCCCACTTGAGTCAACAGCCACGCAGGAGAACTGGGTGGGGCGTGGAGAAGTGAAGGTGCGGAAATTCCGGTACCTGAACAAAAATAAGGTCAAGGTAGACTCCACCACAAACCTGTACCTCTTGAATGTTCTGTCCATAAAGGAACTGGAGCCCTAGTGCTTGGAGGCAGGGACTCACCTGTGAAGGTCAAAGGCTCTCACGGTGCCGTCCAAGGAGGAGGTGATGACAACATGGCCAGTGGCAGTAAAGGTTACGCCAGTGATCCCGCTGGAGTGCTCCGTAAAAGTGACAAAGCAGAAGCCACTGAGGGTGTTCCACACCTTGACCTACAGTGGGAGCACATGGAAGCCATAAATACAACCACCCCAGACCCTGTCCACGCAGCCCCACACACAGGCGTAGGTAGTGGCAATGCCAGGTGATGCCTGGAGAGGCCACCTGCCCCCCACAGCTCCTGTCACCTCTGGGCGAAGACAGGGCTTGCAGTGAGAGTTCTAATTAAGGGCAAATGTGGCCTGAGGCAGGCCCAGCAAGCGTCCGCCATTTCCAATGTTGGCTTCTGGCACGGCAACGTTTGCAAAAACAGGAACACCCGGACCCTCTCCATTCAAAGCCCACTAACTGCTTAAAGTCTTTTAGGGGCCCATTGGGGCTATTAATCTGAAAAATCAAGGCCAAATCTCCACTCCACCTCAGCCTGAGGAAGCCCAGTGCCCACCTTGCCGTCGTCCCCACCGGTGACGATATACTGCCCGTCGGGGGAGTAGGCCAGCGACACCATGCTGTTGAAGTGGCCCTGCTGCTTGAGCACGTAGGATTCACTCTGCCATTCCCACACCAGCAGCTGGCCCAGGCCTGTGGGCGCAGGAAAGCTAGACGTACTACCTGGACACCTACCCCCAGCCTCTGCGCACGGCACGGGGCAGGGTGCCCCCAACGTCTCCTGCAATGCAGTCAGCCAGGTCTAGACTCAACTTGAGCATTCACTAAGAACACAGGCCTACGGCAGGCCAGGGCATAGGCAGTGGCCCCATCTGTAGCCCCGCAGGTGGCTGGACTGGAGCGGAGGCCTGGTCCAGGACTAATAGGCAGGTATGTGGGCACTTGCTGCAGGCCAAGACCAAAGGGCCACTGAAGGCTGAAATTTAAGTAAGAGAGCCCAGGGCCTCAGAAGATCCACCGTCTGTAGCCTTCAGTGACTCCTGCCACACACTCCATCTAGAGCCGCTGTGCTTCCGCTCTGAACGAGCTGTGGGAAGACCCTCTCCCCAGAGGAGCTGCCATCTACTACAGAAGGCACAGCGTGGCCCTCTGGGGCCTCACAAGGCTCTTTGCTAAGACCCAACTGAAGTTCAGCTTTCTGGTGGAAACTTCCCCTCTACAGCAGGGCAGGGAAACCAACCTGAGCAGCCAAAGGCAATCCAGTCCCCAGAGCTGTTGATGGCAACCGAAGCAACCCTCTGGTCGGAGATGCTGCGCAGACAAGGCACAGGGAGGGCAGGGTGAACACGAGAGGCCATCCGGCCCCTTCCTCCCTCCTGCAGGAGTCCAGGTCCCCGCAGGCTGGCACCCCAGTGAGCCACACTCACCTCAGGGAGTGGATGAGGTTGAACTCCGGGAGCTCATGCAGATGGAAGACTCCAGAAGCAAAACCCGTGACCAAGAGGTGAATCTTCTTATGATAAGCAGCGGCCGTCAGGTTGTTAAAATCTCCTTCTTTATTCAAGAAGTACCTGGATTAACAGAGCACAGGGGAGGACACGGGGTGGGGGGTCAGGGCAGGTCGGGGCCTCCACTCTCACCCCGAAGCTTGGGACAGGCACGCAGAGAGCAAGGTGTGTCACTGTGCAGCTGCCAGGCCCTCCAGTTCCTTCTGGGTTGCCTGCCTTCTGCAGCGGGTCCTATCTGCAGGTGAAGGTCCTATCTGGAAGCACCTCTACCTTTGGGTGAGGCGATCCAGACCTGTTTCCTGAGTCTTCTTCGCAGGTTCCACCCCAATCCTTTCCTTACTGCCCACAGATAAGACTCCTTCCTTCTACGCTGGCACATGCCCACAATCCTGGTGGGCGCCCTCCCACTAAAATGAGGCCAAGCACACCCCATCCTGGTTTATGTCCCGACTCTATCTGTGACATCCTCAGACTTCATGGGGACCTCCAGCCCATCCAGACCTTCTCTTTCACCTCTGACCGACAAGGCAGAATAGCTCTTGCCCATCCCTCACATTGTCACCTTCCATTTTAGATGCCATGATGGCCTCCCTCTTAGGTCCTGTCCTTCTCTACCCCGGACAGTGGCTCCCATCCAAAGCCAGGTGTCTTCCAAACAGAGCTGACCGTGGGTGCTATTCCTTTGCGTAGCCCCACCACATGGCCAGTGTCATCATGAGTCCCTGCACATCTCTCAGTGGAAATCCGGTGATATGTTCCCAGGGCCAAGGCCAGAGCCCAGCACACAATGAGTGCCAAGCAAGTGAAGTGAATGGTGAAGGCCAGGACGGCACAACTGGGCAGGCTATGGAGACGCATGGCTGCTGACAGCCACTTATTCAGCTCTCAGGTGACCATGAGCAGCCTCTGTATACAACATCAGTCTTCCCCAGGCCTGCCTCCCCTCCTGTCAGATGATGAGGCAGCAGGCTCTCTAGCCTTTGGGACAGGGTCTCACACCTAGTACTTAAGGCCCTCAATCCAGGCTCACAGACATGGGCCTGTTCCCTTAACCTAAGGAACTCCCCTACTTGAGGAATATACAGCCAGGATGCTCAGCCTTGGAGACCTACTTGGCCAGCCGCGAGTACTTCACTTTCCCAACCTTCTCCTGCTCGGCTGGCACTGCCTTCCCTCGGATGGTGGTTTCTTGATCTCCCTCCTCTTCATCCTCTTCCTCCTCTTCTTCTTTGTCCCTCTGAAGTATGTCTGCCTTCCAGCCCTTAGGTGGCTTCAGCCTCAGGCCCTCAGGGGGCGTGTCACACTGCCACACACACAGGGCTCCATCTTGGCTAAGCGAGTACAGCTGCAAGAGACGCACCAGGGCTGGAAGAAGGCCACTCACCTGACGGCAGGCCCTAGTACCAGGTGCCCCTTCCAGTTTGGCATTTGGATTCCAGCTCCACCGAGGCGTGCTGCCCTGCACCTCACCCCCATTCCCAGCAGTGGCCAGGGCTAGTTCTGAGAGAACCCCAAGCACAACCTAGAGGCAGCTTCATGGAGGCTCAGACTGCCAGGTTAGGAAATGCAGGCAAGGGACGTACATCCAGGCTGTTGGACTCAAAGAAGCAGGCCACGATGGCGTCCTTGTGTCCACTCAGGGCATAGTAGATGAGGTTGTCCCAGCGCTCAGCTCCGAACACCCAGGTGGACATGTCTTTGCTTCCGACCGCAAAGCACCTGGAAGGCAGACACTTGCTCAGGGCTCAGGACAGTGCCGCTACCCTTGCGGCTACTCATGGTCTCCCTCTGAATGAACCCTGAGAGCCTCTGAGACTCCCTGAAGGGGGCTTAGAGCACAACTGAGCCTACGACTGTGGGTCTCTCTGGGTGCAGCAGCTGACTCCTTCCATCCTAGTTGCAACCTGAGGCTCCAATGCACATGCATTCTGTTAACCACACAGTCAGACGCTTGGGATGGCCCCACTGCTGTGTGAAGGCCATGCTATGGCAGGGCACAGACAATGCAGTTTCAGCTCTATGCTCGCTGGACCCTTGCCAGGGTACAGAAACAAGAGAGGTCCTGTGACTCCCACCAACCTCTCCTCACGAGGCAGAGTTCGGCACCCAAGACAAGCCAGCACCCCAGAGATGCCTTCAGACTAACGACAATTAGCTAGTGCAGGAGAAAGGACCCAGCCCTCAGCAGCAGCTCCCAGACACCATGGCGGGCTTGTGTGTTCTTGACAAACTGACTGGGAGATCTGCACTCTATCAGCAGGTTTCCAGGAGTAAACAGGAGAGGGGAGGACACTACAGACCTCACTCAGAGCCAGAGCTCAGTCCTGCTGTTTGTTGGAGGCTGTGCAAAACTCCAAGGAGAGCTCAGGACACATTTTAAAATGCAGCTACAGCTTAGGGGAAGGAGACCGCATTCTCCAGGAAGAGATGACCCAAGGTGCCATGCCCCCAGCCTCACTTGGAGTCATCTGTCCAGTCGATGCATGTGGTCTCATCATAGGGCCCAAAATAGGTTTTGTCCAGAACAAACGCGTTGAATTCTCGCTTCTTTCCGGGGGCATGGTACATCTGAGCAATGTTGCCCTTCGTAACAACAAATTTTCTGCAGAAGAAACAGGGTCACAGGTGATCCTGGGGACCGACGATAGCTGGCCTGAGACTGGTGCCCTGTATTCTTCACAGGGTGGCACCCGTGGCGGCACCCAAAGGTTCTCACCTGCCATCAGGGGAGAAGGAGACGCTGTGCACGGAACCCTTGAAGTGGAAGTGGTGCAGCACAGACCTGCAGACCAAGCTGACCAACAGAGCGTCGCCCCCTGCAAGAGGCCAGGGCAAGGCAAGACTATGGCCACCCGACCCCGCACGCAGCACACCTGTTTCCTGTGCACTGTTGAAATGCAGGAAGGTGCTGGGCAGGTCCTCCCTGGGACATGGATTGCCCGGACCCATGCTATGGAGTTGGGCTTGACCCTAGGTGACGTCCTTGTCACACAGCACGGAGGTCGCAGGGCCACCCCAGGGCCCGCCCACACCAAGACTGAGTACCTTCATCAACGATGATTGCAAGGCGGCCATCTGGAGACAGCCCCACACACTTGATATTGTACTTGGTGGCCAGGGGCAACGTGTCAGATCTATTGCTGAGAAACACAAACAACCCCAGTGCAGTTGGTCTTGTGTACTCAGACAAGAAGACAGAGCTAGACTTGGACTAGCAGCTGGCTCTCCTGACATAGGGGCCCTTACAACAGAGTTCATGCCTTGCCCTCCCAGGTCAGCTTGGCACTGACCCTTCTGTGTATGTTCTTAAAAAAAAGAGAGAAAAAGAAAAGGAAAAGAAAGCAGATAGAAGGAGGAAAAAAGCAGGGTTTGACTGGGCAACTGAGCAAGGGTCCAGAACAGCCCGCACTCGTCAAATTACCTGGCCTGGGGTGCTCAGAGGGCTCCTCTGGTAATAAGCACTCATTTTGTATTAAGGCGTGTCTCTGTATATTCAATTGTTAAATGCCGAACTGGCAATGAACTATGTGCTAACAGATTCCGGTATTGTCAATGCTATTGAGGATTCTCCTGTCTCAATGTGGTGTAAAAATTACTCTCCAATTATCTCTGATTGGTTCATAAAGAAGCAGGACGGCCTATAGCGGGTAGGAGAGTTAAGGCGAGACTTCTGGTCCCAGTCTGGGCGTCCCAGGTATAGACAGAGAGAGAGAGAGGGAGGGGAGGGGAAGGGAGAGGTGGGATGGGGAGGAGAGGAGAGGTGTTAACACACAAGGGGAAGAAAAAGAGGTTGCTGGGCCATGAGGAAGTAGGCTGGGCCAGGAGAAGGCCTCTGGACGATAAGGAGTTGCTATTAGGACAAAGATGGAGGAGGTGCAGCCCAGGAGACTAGAGAGCAAGTAGCATGGGGCACATGCCTGGGAAGTAGCCAGTATAGTATAGATGGGTTAGAATAGGTCAACATCTGTCCAGCTGTAGTGCTCTAAAGCTTATTAATAAATGTAATAGGTCTCCATCTCATTATCTGGGAACTGGAGTGGACAGAGAACAAACCAATTAATTAATTTTACACCTTCCTACCTCCCACCACCTCCACAGAAAGAGGTAGGGTCCCTTGTCAGGCAATAGCCAAAAGGCACACGATTTTTTCCTTTCCCTTTAAGGGTAATGTTCGTATCCTAGAATGAAAAATGGGGATCCCAGCAAGCAACTTTCCCATGACCAGTAACCTCCTACATCTAGTAGCCCTGCAAGACTGAGAGAGGATGGCTAGCCTTCCTACAGTTGTCACTGCTAACACTGCTGCTCCATACTTACTTCTTAAGGTCAAACACAGTGATTCTATTTCCCACAGGGCTGATAACAGAATTTCCATCGCATGTGAAATTTAAGTTTCCACACCGATAAACTGTCCCCAACAAATTTGAGAACTGCAAAGAAAACGAATCAGTCTTAACACAAAGAAATCAGTGTCAGCTCTCAGAAAAGGTGACAGGAGGCATCTGGGCAGAAGCAGCAAAGTACCTGACCATAGACAGTGTCCTGCCCCTGAGCAGGAGCTGAATCCAGCCTCATTCTCCGGAGCCCAGGGTTCCCACTAACGATAACAAACTCCCAAGACAGGAGGCACAGAAGGGCATAGAATGCTCATTTAAAGAGAATCTGCATCAGTGAGCAAGGCTCCAGGAGGTGCTGACCACAGTACACAGTGCTATGTATCAGCGCCCCAGTTGATCCATTCAATTATCAAACGCAAGCACTGCCATCCATTAGACTCAGCCCAGTGTCTACCTTGTGGTCTACGTCCACATAGGCAATAGGACTGATGTCCAAACAAAGCAAAGGCCAGCGGTGCAGTCAGGTAGCTGCTTAGAGGGACTGCCTGGGCTGTAGGTGGACAGCGATGCAACGGTACCAGCCAGAGCTTGGCTCTCTGCTCCAAGGACTGGAGGCCCTGTAGGGAGCTGGATGGGGCTTGAGGTTTGCTGTCAGGGGCCTTTCTGCAGCCACTGCTGTATTGTCTGACAGGGTGAGTAGAGGACAGGGCTAGGTACAGACTTAAGAGACCAAGCCTGGAGGAAGCCGGAGCTTCAGTGTGGCTGGGAAAGGAACAGGGAGCAACAGCTTGCGACGGGCCGACCCACAGGCAGCCGAGATGCCAACGACCTCGGAGCCTTCCACTCGCCCTCCCGCTGCCCACGGCTGGCCCGCCGCTCACCCGGTAGGCGAACTTCATCCCGCAGCCACACGTGCGGTGTCCTGTCCGCACCACTTCCAGAATCCGAACTACCTCCGGCGCGCAGAAGGCGCACTTCCGGGGCGGGACAGCGACCACAGCAGCTGGTAAGGCTCCGCCCACTCCGCGCCGCCACCCCGCAGTACGCAGGCGCAGCACGGCTGTGCACTAGGTCGTGCCGAACGCCGGGACGGTGGATGGCCGAGGTAAGCTCTGTACCGCGCTGCTGCGGGCACCCGGGCAGGAGCTGTGAATGCGAGCAGACACCGCACACTCGACTGCAACCGTGCCATCGCAAAAAGAACCAAGGTCAAACGGAGTTTCTTCTTAAAATGTGTATTTTTAGAATTTTAATGCTTACACTTTAAATAATCTTAGTACAGTGGCTTTACTCTGACATTACAGAATACAGTGAAAACTGGAACCAAAGTCTGCAGTGTCACGGTCAGCAGTCACCTTTCCTAGACCCAGTCCCAAAGAACAGCTGCCAGCTGTCATACAGAGAAAGGGCGTCTTCGTAAGTAAAAATACGTAGGGCTTATTGTAGGAGTCAACGGTTTAAGGGAAACACTGATCGGCCCGGTTCTTTCATAAAACGTGGCAAAATTTTTCATTTTTAGATAAAACCTGGCACGTTTAATTTCATTTTAAGATTTAACCTTGTTTTAAATGCTAAAGAAAAAGCCAAAAGAAGCCTTGTTATCTACTCCTCACGGATTTCTATTCTTGTCTGAAACTCAGAGGCACCCACTCCAGGCTGTACAATGGGGCCATAGGCAAGAGTCCTTAAATACAATTCCCACATTACAATCAGAAGTTACAGTTCTTCCAATATCAGGAGACCCCATAAAACTCCCAACAATTTTAACTGCCTTTCCTTCCTGCTGCTGGATCTGAGTGGTAGCAGCTGTCTGTAAACACTGGTGCACTTGCTTCTGAGAGACACTCTCTGGCTTCACAATGTCTAACACCCAGGGCATCTTCATCAGACCACACAAACCCTTACAACAAAATCTAGTGGTAGTCTCCTAGCTCCTCTACAAATAGAAGAAACAAGGATGACTTTGTATCGCACATGTTGAAAACAAGCACACACATGTAGTTTCTGGGTAACTAGCAGATAGATTTGATTTTCAACATTTCCCTACAACAGAAAGTACCATCAACATTTTCAATTTCCCCTTTGTTTTATTCTAAATACATGTAATTAGAAAACCTCAGAGAACTCTAAAATATGAAAGTCAAGGAGTGGTTAACTCAGAATTAGACTCCACTCTCTAATGTGAGCAGTACACCACACATGGGAGAAGGGAGGCTAACAGTGCCAGGTGAAAGCTTTTCTCACAGGCTCAAAGACCTTCTACATGAACTTGACATCTGCAGGGCAACTGTCAAGTTTTACAGCAAACAGATTTCACAGGGCTGTAAACATTCATTATATATGAAGTTCTAATTTGCATAGCCCAAGTTTATTAGTTTTAAACAGCGCACATAAAGGTTTCAATAAATGTTTATTTTCTTTCTGCATTCCTCCAACACCTGCAAATGAAAAGGATTGGGGTGGGGAGAGCCACACCATCCTGAGTTAAAATCAAATACACTGAATACTGAAAATGTTGGCTTGTCGCTCCTGGCTTCTGCCTGTGCTCCTGACTCCCTGTGCCCAAGCTCATTCTCTGCGATTTAGCCACTATCGAAGAGGGCTCCTTCCTCTTCCAGCTCTGTATCTCAGGTTCCACTCACTTTAACCATGCCAGTGAACCCAGAGCGCACTCTCTCAAATGTACAAAAATACATCACTTTGGAGGACTGAAAATGTTTAATACATACAGCATGTATTTACAAGCTATGAATTCCACACCAATAAAAACAAACACACATTTATTTTGTCCTTGATTTTTGGTGCAACTTATACACAAACATTACATCAGTTAGTCTGTACTTTTAAAAATAATAAATCAACAGTATGTACAATCAAATTTACAACCAAAAGCAAATGAACCCGTTGGTGCGGTATGACTGCAACCCAGTGGACCAGTAGAGGCTCCTCCAGGCCCTGAGTCCTTATGGCTGACCAGAGCACAAGAGCAGTCCCTCTCTTCTTCACTCCAGATGGAGCATCTTCAGTTCCAAGACTTAAGGTGCAAAAGATGTCGATTATACAGCTAGAATACATGAGCAGACTTTAAAGTGAGAGAAAACATTTCACCCCCACATCCAACAATTATAATAAATATAGATTTAATTCCAAGTGCATATGATATTCAATCAGTATTAGAGGGAATCAGGGATCCAGAACGTTTAGCCTAAGCCATTTCCACAGCGCACTTCCTGTGCTCTGGTCATCTCTCTGCAGTCTTTCACGTGGCTCTTACAGATGGACCTTGTGATCTGCCGGGCATCCCAAGGCACAGAAGGGGTTGTGTTTCCTCCCCCCACCCCCTAGCCCCAAAAGCTGTTACTAGAAAACCACAATGGGGGAATCTGGAGTGTAGGACAGGGTTTCCTCCCTCAGGAGGCCCACAAGTTGCCCAGGGACTGGGCTGTGTGAGCAGAAGGGCACACAGTGCCATAAGAAGACTGCAGAGTCTGCTGAAGGTCCACCTGAAAGACACGAAATGGGGATGGGGAAGCCACCAGGACAAAGGCTGCGGGAGGAGACCAGTCTTGTGGGAAGGGGATGATGAGTTAGGGAGACCAGCACGGGGACAGGGTCAGGGATGAAAACAGAAAACAAATCCTGTGTCACAGACAACATGAGGTGATGCTCTACTCCACTGAGCAGCTGAAGGACACTGTTCTCTGCTGTGTCTGTAGCTAGGCAGGACTGCCAGAGTCTGGTTAGAGCTAGTGTGTTACCACAGACCACAATCCAGCCACAATCCCTAAAGTGCACTCATGGCCACTCTGTGGCTTTGCTGGCCCATGGCAGGGTCAGGTAACACTGACTTCCAGGACGTGGTCGTCTTGACTGGGAATGACCAGGATCTGCATGCCAGTGCTGGAGTTGAAGACCTGGCCAGCGGGCAGTGCCTGAAGCCGGGGCATGGGCAAGCCTTTGTGCTCGCTGCTGGAAGCTGAGTGTGTGCTGCCTCTACTCCGTACGCTGCTGCAGTCCAGCTGGTCATCTAGGTGCTTGTCCACTGACAGGCTGTCATTTTCTATCCAGCTGTCTGTGGAACACATAGGAAGTCAGACCAAGGCATTGCAGGGTGAGCCTGGGGAGGGGGAAGCAGCCCAGGCTGCCTACATCTGTACTTTTTTTTTTTTTTTAAGATTTATTTATTTTATGTATATGAGTGTTCTATCTGCATTTACACCTGCCAGAAGAGGGAATCAGTTCACATTATAGATGGTTGTGAGCCACCATCTGGTTGCTGGGAATTGAACTCATGACCTTTGGAAGAGCAGACAGTGCTCTTAACCACCGAGCCATCTCTCCAGCCCTACATCTGTACTTTTAAAACAAGCTCTGTGCTAATGGTTCTGTGAGGGGTGAGGCGATGCTCGGATGCTCAGTAGGTCTGGGCAGTGTCAAACTGTTATAGAATTACTGTTTTGTTTTTAAGATTTATTTATTTATTGTGTATACAATGTTCTGCCCGCATGTACACCTGCACATCAGAAGAGGGCACCAGATATCATTATATGATTGTTGTAAGCCACCATGTGGTTGCTGGGAATTGAAGGAAAAGCAGCCAGTGCTCTTAACCTCTGGGCCATCTCTCCAGCCCCAAATTACTGTGGTTTTTTGAAACTAGAGCAACTGGGTTTTGGGTGTTATTTTCTACTGGCCACTGGCCATGAAAATATGCTTTAACTTTTCAATGTGTAGCCACATGAAGCTATATCCCTATTCAAATATAGAATTTACCATCAATTCTATGAGGGCTCTGCCTAGAGATTTCACACTATGTTCAGTAGAAACCAAACTTCAGATTTTGACTCTGAAGTAGCAGCGTGATTTATTCCTCTCAAGATGCCAGGCAGTGCCCCAGTCAGCCCCCCGTGAGTAGACTGTGCAGCCCCAGTGTGGGGGTTCTGCGCTTTGTTTTAAACCCCTCACATCTACATCTGTACTTTTAAAACAAACTCTGTGCTAATGGTTCTGTGAGGCGTGAGGCGATGCTCGGATGCTCAGTGGGTCTGGGCAGTGAGTGAACTAATTTGCAGTACTTCCTACATGGGATGGGTTATCAGGTCATGACTCACTTTATGTAATGGGGGAGGGGGAGCCTGCCCTCTGTAAACTCCTTACCAGCATCCAGTTGAGAGGCATGAGCAGAGTGGTGGGGGAGGTACTTAAACAGTCGGACATCAGGCAAGGGGAGGTAACCAGCAAACAGAGGCATCACTTCCATGTGGACTCTGTGAGTGGCCTGGGCAGCCACAGGCATGGAGATGACACCACAGCTCTTTCCACATACAGCCCAGTTGCTGCTGTTGTCCACAACTGAAATGAGGAGGACACACCATTCATACAGACGGCAAAGCGAGACCTTCCTCTTCCAACCCTCAGTCACAATAGAGACCCTGCTAAAGGACACACGTCTCTCCTAAGTCCACCTTACAATGAGTAGTGCTTTAATCATCACAGCACACCACTGCTTCAATACAGCACTCAAATTACTTCTCCTTTGACTGGATCACACTAGATGCAGACAGAAAAACTACCTTTTCCATCAGATGGGAAAAAAAAAAAAGTGTTATACTAGGCTGTTTGGAGGCAGATCTATCTGTGTGGAGTGGCACTGAGACCAATGATCTGGGCTGGGTGTTGGATATAAAAACTCCCAAAGGCTCCTGTGTTGAAAGCTTGGCCCTCAGATGGTGGCAGGATGACATCACAAGAATGACAACTTCATCAGTGGTTTCCAGTGATGAGTCCAGGCAAATGGCTACTAGGAGGTGAGCCTGGTTGGAGGAAGGTCTCTCTCTGGAGATGTGCCTTTGAAGGGTCTATCTCGTCCCCAGATCCTTTTTTTCTTTTCTGCTTCCTGGATGTCACGAAGTGAGCAGACTCATTCACCATATTT